TGCTGACGCTAGCCATCTGGTCTTGGCGTCGCGACGTCGGCAGAGGTCACCATCCGCGATCCGAGGCTGGCAGCCGCCGCATCCAGGTTGTCCTTGGCAGCAAACCACGCGTCCACGGCCGCAACCTGGTCTGCCGTTGTGGGCACCGTGTCGACGAGGTCGAGACCGTTGATGCTGGCCTGGGCGGCCTGCATAGCAACGGCTGCATCCGTCGTGCTGACGCTGGCCATCTTGGTCTTGGCGTCGGCGACGTCGGCAGAGGTCACCATCCGCGATCCGAGGCTGGCAGCCGCCGCATCCAGGTTGTCCTTGGCAGCAAACCACGCGTCCACGGCCGCAACCTGGTCTGCCGTTGTGGGCACCGTGTCGACGAGGTCGAGACCGTCGATGCTGGCCTGGGCGGCCTGCATAGCAACGGCTGCATCCGTCGTGCTGACGCTGGCCATCTTGGTCTTGGCGTCGGCGACGTCGGCAGAGGTCACCATCCGCGATCCGAGGCTGGCAGCCGCCGCATCCAGGTTGTCCTTGGCAGCAAACCACGCGTCCACGGCCGCAACCTGGTCTGCCGTTGTGGGCACCGTGTCGACAAGGTCGAGACCGTCGATGCTGGCCTGGGCGGCCTGCATAGCAACGGCTGCATCCGTCGTGCTGACGCTGGCCATCTTGGTCTTGGCGTCGGCGACGTCGGCAGAGGTCACCATCCGCGATCCGAGGCTGGCAGCCGTCGCAATCGCAAGCTTGTCTTTGGCCGCAAACCAGGCAGCAACGGCGGCGGCCTGCTCAGGTGTCGAGGGAACAACATCCACGAGCTTGAGTGTGAGGATGCGGTCATGGGCCGAGCGCATGGCATCGAGTGCCACAGCAGCGCTGCCAGTGGCTCCGACAGACTCAGCCATCCTGGACTCGACGTCGACAACATCAGCGGCTGTAACATACTTGGCATACGAGGCGTCAAGAAAGCTTCGGCAGCCTCGAGAGCACCGAAAAGGCGCAGATGACTCTTGGAGCCAATGGCCGCTGAGATGGCACGCGCCAGATCGTCAGCCCGAGAGTTGTCGCCAAACTGCGCCAGTGCGCCTAGCGTCTCGCCCGCCCGCGCAACAAACGTCGATCGCGACCGGGCTGAGCCGGTTCCCGACGACGCAATCGACGGGAGCGTGTTGACTGTGGTGGTGTCGTCTAGCCAAGGCTCGACGGCTGCCGAGTGGTAGAAGCTGAGCACGTCCACAGAGCCCAGCAGCGAGTTGAGGTCAGCATCGTCGTTGACGGTGGAGCCGGCTGAGGTGTAAGATGCGCGTGAGTGCGCCCGCGACGCCGACGAGGCTGGGCGAGAGTAGACTGATGCTGCCGCTGCCGAATGGATGTCGTTGGCGAGCGCCAGTGCCTGTGGGAGTGCGTGCCGCAGTGATGCCCAGCGCTCGTTGGCGTGGGTGACGTCGGCGTCGTTAGCCTTGCCGAGCGCGTTACGGAGTGTGGTCAACGCAGTGCCGGTCTCCTCCACCAGCGCCGAGAACTGTGCCACAAACTCGCCAGATTCGGATGACGGAATCGAGACGGTGAGCAGTTCGTCTGCCACCTCGCGTCCGCGTGCCACGTCTGCAGCCATCCCATCCAGGTCGAGCGGTGGTGGTGCCTGTGGCCCGGGTGCCGGCGACGGCGACGGCGACGGCGACGGTGACGGTGACGGTGACGGCAACAGCGGTGGAACGGGGGCTGGGCTAGCAGACGGAGCCCTACGGCCGGTCGCGCGCTGCATGTTCTCTGGTTTGGCTTCAGCCACGGTCCGCGGCACGCTGGCCGTACCCTGTCGCGGTCCGTCATCAAACGACACCGCCCTCGGCAGGGAAGCCTGGTTTGCATCGCGTGTACCAGACGATCTCAGAGAGGTCACACTTTCGCTCGCCGTTGCTGCTGAAGACGATGCCATGGCTGATGCTCGCTCCTGAGCACCATGGCTGGTTCCCATCAGAGGATCGTCGCGCGGGGTGATCTGGGTCTTCACATCTGCGACAGCATCCTGATGGATGTCGGGTTGCACGCAATGGTCGTCGGGTACATAGCCACCGCCTGCAGTGGGACCTTGGTTGCTTCGGCCCGTCGCGGTCTGGACGCTGTGGCCGCCGCCAGCACCATCGTCCCGGTCGCTGGTGTGTGGCCCAGGCTGGACACTATGGCCGGCGGACCCATGGCCACCGCCTGTAGCAAGACCTTGGTTGCTTCGGCCCGTCGCAGTCTGGACGCTGTGGCCGTCGCCAGCACCAACGCTCAAGCCTCCGGCATGGCCCCAGCCTCCTGGATACAAGCCAGGATGGCTTCCAAAGTGGAACGGCGGACCGAACCCAGGCCCCATTCCGCCAGTGTGCCCGCCATGACCGCTGCGACCGTCGGCCCCGACCCTGTCCGGGCCATACCAGCCCTGAGACCTGCCGTCGCTTCCTTCCTCTACTTGACCCTCGCAGCGATAGCTACCGGCTGCGTCTGCCCCTAGATCCCCGCCCCAGTGCCCGCCGACCGGCTCAAACGCCGCCGCCATGAGTGCCAGCGCCTGATCGGTCGACGCCCATGCTGGACATGGACCGCTGGTACCAGGTGCATGGATCCAGAGCACACCATCGGCGTCTACGGCGACTACTGCGAGCCCGCCCGAGACCTTGCGAACGTAGCGGACATCAACAATGTGCCCCGACGCAGCGGTGGGGAACGGCGAGACGCCGGTGCTGTCCAGGACCCACGGTTCACCGTTGCGCACGAGGACCAGAATGCCGAGCGAAAGCGGATGTAGCGCCCATCGAAAGGTATGCAGGCCGGTCGAGAACGAGCGAGGAAGAAGCGCAAGCTCGACACGCCGGACAACAGCAAGTTGGCTCAGATCCACCAGCGTAAGCGTGAGCGTGCCACCGACTGCCAGCTCAATCGCAGCAGCCAGAGCAGTGCCGGTCACTACCTGCCAACCAGCCCACACCTCGTTGGTCTCGTAGCTGGCGAGTCGGACAAGCTCAGCATCGCCGCCAATCCCACTCACGCCGTAGTGGATGAGGCAGCTGGCGTCACGCGAGACAAGAATGTGCTCGCGTGCTCCGAGCGGCGCAAGCGCGGCACGGACATTGCCGGCCGCCATCGGCACCATAGCGAGAAACGGCGCTGGGGCGAGGGGTGTGATCTGCGTTGGCACTGCTGCCCACGCCGCCGCATCAGCTGCCGCCCCGGGCTCACCCAGCCGCACTGTCGCCCGCTGCGCGAGCGCAGGGACCTCAGATGCCGACCACACACTCAGCGTGTGCGCGGCGTCAAGGGTGACAAAGGTGGCGGCGTGGACACTGGTGCGCGCGCTAGCGGCGAGCGCAACGACACCGTATCCAGACGCCAGGCGCGCTGTCGCCACACACTGCGCCTGTGGCCCGTCAAGTGCCAGGAGGCGGATGTAGCCTGAGCCGTCGCCGGTCACCAAATACTGTGGAGAGAGAAAGGCGGCAGCCGCAGCCTCGACGGTCTTGCTCAGGCCACGACCCCCGCCCGCCACCAGGCTCGGCGCCACTGTCCCGCGCATATCACCGCGCACATACTGCAGCCGCCCGCCGCGACGCGCCCACGCCTGCACAACCTCGCCGCTGCCAAAGAGGACAACGCCAACACCATCGGCTGCACCGAGCTGTGCGCCTTCGGCCGGCCACGACAGCGGAATGCCTGTCCACGCTCGGCTCTCTGCGCAATACGCGTGCATGGCGCCAGTCGATGTCTGAACAACCAGCCACTCTGGCCCACATGCCGACACAGTCTCCACGACCGCGCCGGCGTCAAGGCTCACAACAACGTCGTGCAGCGCCTCACAAGACGCAGCACTCGCAACAACCAGCCGATTGTCGTCAAGTGTGAGTGCGAGAACGCTGTACGCGCCAGCTACCACTACTGCGGAGCGGACCTGGTCGCGGCTGTAACCTGCCAGCTCGAGATCGAGCTCGAGCTCGCGCCCGTGAGCGTCAACCACACGGCCGTCGGACGACGCCACAAACGGACCGGCGCTGGGTGCAAAGCCAAGAGTGGCACCGGGCACACTGGCCACCTCTGGCGCGATCCGCCGCCCTACTTGCACTCTTTTCAGCGCATCAGGCATCGAGGCCCGGTCGGGCAGCGGGAGCGGAACAATGACCTCGACCAGCGCGCCGCCGCCGAGCAGTCCGATCCACAGCGCTGAGGACTCACGTGGCGCCATTGCCATGCAGGTGCCAGCCAACGGCACCTGCGATGAAAACGGCGCCGGGAGCGGGATCGCTGGGAAGAGGAGAATGTCACCGGCTGGATCGTCGAGCACCGCGAGCACAAGCTCGCCGCGGACCGCAATGGCGAGCACGGTCACGCCCGATGGCTCAAAGGTGCAGTGCGCGACGCCAGCAATCGCAGCGGTCGGCCGCAGGCCTGCGGCCGGATCAGCCCGCAACGATGGCGGTGCCAGTTCCAGCGAGCTCACAAGCGCCGCAGTCCGTGTGCAGTAGACGCTTAGGGTGCCTGCGGCCGCCACGGCAACAAGCAGGTCGTCGCGCGGCGGAAGGATGAGCGCCAGCGTCGGCGACGGCGGCACGACTGGCGGCAGCTCGGTGTCTCGCCGAGCATCCACTTGCGGCACAAGCTGGAGTTCTGATGGAGGAGCAACCATGGCCTTTGCGCATGCCGCGGATCTCGTGAGCGTCCACACCACCGCTGCAGCGCCCACGCCCACAGCGATGGTCAGCGCGCGCCCGTCGGCGGCAGCGGCAAAGGGTGCGTCAGGAAGCCCACCCCATGCGTCGCGCAGCACAAGCGCCGACCGGCTGTTTGGAGGCACCCTTGCATGTGCCCCTTCCATGGTGTGGGGAGGGCGAGGGGTGTGTCGGTGGAGAGCGTCGGCGTGAGAGAGTGGCTGGTGGCCGCGGTTGGCGCCAACAAGGAGGCAGAGGGTACGCCGGGCTGGCGCAGAGGAGGAGGGGGGGGGGCGGCGATTGGAGGCATCATGGCCACACATGGCCACATAAAGCTAGACATGGCAACAGAAGGGGGGCGGGATCCGTGTGTCTGCGCTCATCGCCGGTCCCGTGGCCCCCGCAGCCGGCAGCGCGACATGCCCGACCACATGATTGCGACGGGACCGAGTCGGGACGACGGCGGGCGACCGACACTACGGCACCGGCACCCGCATCTGTCTTCATTTGCTCGATGGGAGTGGTGCGGCACGCGGCTTGGGTGGCAAAGGTGGCGGTTGGTGGCGTCCGGTCAGTGCTCTCCGGCCGGTGGCCGGCTCGGGCTCGGTGGTTGAGCAGATGCGGGTCGTCCGTGCTGCGCTCGCAGCGCCGCCGAGCTCTGGAGGCAGCACGCAGAGCAGCGAGGATGTCGGGGCGGTGGGGACGGTGGGAGGGAGCAGGAGGATCGCGGCGGCGCGGGAGAAGACCCGCCGCCTGCTGGCAGCCAAGCACTTTACAGGGAGCGAGCACGGGCAGGGGTAGGTCGATGGTCACCAATCGGTGCCGTGGACGACGGCGTCGACGACGGTGACGACGGCGAGGCCAAAGAGCGGCATCTTGCCCAGCGGGTAGCCAAAGACGCCCGAGTCCTTGCGCGAGACAATGCCCGACATGTAGCCGAGGGCAAAGGGGATGCGCGAGGCGATAAAGGTCAGGAAGCAAAGCAGCGCGATGGCCGGGTACGAGCGCGAGGCGAGGAGGAACGAGACCAGGAGCGGGACAGCGCCCTCGACGGTGTTCTGGTGCGCCCGCTGCGTTGAGTCGAACAGGATCTTGTGCTTGTTGTCGGTCGGTGCGTAAGCGTGCGGCCACGGGACGTCGTACGCCGCACGCGCCCCGTTCACGCACGCCCCGAGCCAGCCGTTAAGCAGATGGAAGGCGATGGCCCCCATGCCAAACGCCGCCAGTGACGTCAGCTGTCCGCCAGGCACGAGCCCCTGCAGCGCCGCCTCGGCCGTCGCCATGTAGCCGAGGGCGTCCACGGCAAGCATGACCGCAGGGAACGGCAAGTTGAGCATGACGACTGAGACAATGCCCATGGGGTTCTTGCCGCTCTGCGGCTTGGCGGTCTTGGTCATAGCGGCGGGGAGAGGGGTGAGATAGGTGTGGGACACCATGACCGCGCCCGTGCCTCGGACGGACACCGCTCCGCCGACTGGCCGCACCAACCGTAGTACGATCGGATCCCAACAGCTCCCCTCCCCTCCCTCCCCCGTCACACCATCACCTACGCCCGCCGCTCACCTTTCTCCACCGGCTTCCCCATCCTCAACCTCACCCATCATCCATCTCTCCGCCATCTGTACGGCGGACATCTCATCGTCGGAAAATAAATGATCGCACACTCCGGCCACAGCCAGCCCTGCCCCCACGCCAGCCACATCGCCCTCCCCCCACGACGCCATCGCCACCCCCCCCCCCACAACCCCCCCGTTTCCCCCCTCCCTTTGCCGCCCCCCCCCC